GACAAATCCCTGACAGAAAACTGCTGCTGCGTTCTATTCATCATGTATTGACACAAATTTCAAATGATTTTCAACGGTCGCTTTGTCAGTGTACTAGACAGACTTTAGTTGTTGCGGCGCAGACACGGTGTTACTCACCTATCGAGAAGAAACAAAGCAACCTTGCCGTCCGATCGCAGGCCTTCCGCTCCTTGAGTTCCAGTGCTGGAAAGCTGATCCGATATTTACACGGGTTCTACTTCTTGCCTTATTGCCTTAAAGGTGCCATAGAATGGAAAACTGTATTTACCTTGGCATAGTTGAATAATAACAGTTCTGTACATGGGAATGACATACCGTGAGCCTCAAACACCATTGTTTCCTCCTTCCCTCCTTCTTATGTAAATCTCGTGCATGCAAAAGACCACTGAAAAATAGGCGAATCAGAACATAACACCGACTGTGACATTACAGTCAGGATCACTAATAGTTACGGCCCCAACATTTGAATATGATGACTGAGGATGATGGCGAATGATTTACAGATCCTGAGCACCACTGACAAGCATCTGACCTTGTAAAATGTGTGGCAAGTACTGCCGCTGTATTTTACACCAGTGGCGGCTCGTGGGTTTTAAAATAGAGGAGGGCACACTAATTGTATTGGTCTGGGATCCCTGCCGATTATTATTATTTGCATAACCACTTTAAAATGGCTTTTTGGTTGCTTTTAGTCAGAAAACGTAAAGAAAACGACATGCTGTATGCAAGATAATATAACTTCACTTACCTGGCCTATCACTTGAAGCAAACATCCATCCCTTCTTAAAAGTCTGTGTTAAAAGAGAGCTGCTTGTTGCGCCATTTAATTAAGACGACTGCTGTAACGTTAGCCTATATCCAGCTTAGGCGTGTTCTCCCTTTATTTTTAATTTGTATATATACTGTTTGAATGACAGCGACCTTTCACGTTATGGTATTACAACTGTGAAATTACAAACAAAAAATACACATTCTGAGACATGAACTGAAATGAATTGTGAATTTTATTAACATGAAATCGTCCTCCCCCTATTTTCACCTCAAAATTATGGGGAAGCCGTGCCTCCCCTGACGAGCCGCCACTGGTTTACACAGAGCACGTGCGATCGCAAATCTCGAAAGTGAAAGTAAAAAGCATCGTGCATTCGAAAGCAGTTTCAATGCCCTGCATATTAATAGCTGCTCTCTGATGCCCGCATTTTATATACAGTATAATTACCCAACGATATAACTGCGAGAGACAGTATTGAAATATATATTTTCCTGTGTGTGTGTTTCCTTCCTGCTGTGTGAGCTACTGAAATGAGCCGCACTGTGAAACAGCCAATCAGAGCAGAGCTCCTCCTCCTCCTCCTCAGTGGTAGAGCATTGCGTTAGCAGCGCAAAAGGTCGTGGGTTCGATTCCCAGGGAACATACATACTGGTAAAAAATGTATAGCTTGAATGCACTGTAAGTCGCTTTGGATAAAAGCGTCTGCTATCGTGCATTCGAAAGCAGTTTCAATGCCCTGCATATTAATAGCTGCTCTCTGATGCCCGCATTTTATATACAGTATAATTACCCAACGATATAACTGCGAGAGACAGTATTGAAATATATATTTTCCTGTGTGTGTGTTTCCTTCCTGCTGTGTGAGCTACTGAAATGAGCCGCACTGTGAAACAGCCAATCAGAGCAGAGCTCCTCCTCCTCCTCCTCAGTGGTAGAGCATTGCGTTAGCAGCGCAAAAGGTCGTGGGTTCGATTCCCAGGGAACATACAGACTGGTAAAAAATGTATAGCTTGAATGCACTGTAAGTCGCTTTGGATAAAAGCGTCTGCTAAATGCATAAATACAAAAAAATAAAATACAAAATTATTCATGACCCTTCCAAATAAGGTAAAAACAGACCATTTCATTCTAGGGACAAATTCTAGGGTTGTAAATGGACATGTAAAACCGTTTCTGGAGATTTTTTGCCCTTACCTAAGCCACATACCTTCTATCAATGCATTCTATGGCACCTTTAAGCCTTCTTTTGTTCCGCAGACGTTTTCCTCTTTTGTTTTTTTATCCGCCATCTCTATCTTTCTGTCGCTCGGCTCGCTAATGTGAGCACTGAACGCTCTCTCCTCCACATCATGAGTAGACACGCCCCTTACTGCTGATTGGCTACAAGTTTGTTTTGCTAGTCGGCCCGAATCCGTTTTTGGAAAATCGCTTACCCTACCTTTAAATCCTGTATAAGACATTGTTAAATAACTAACTGCATTCGAAATAGGCTAGCATACTCTCAATTATTTTGCGACCATTAAAAAGGTATGTTCTATATTGTAAGAATGTGTGCAGTATGAATTTAATCCGTATTATACAACATTGGCCATTCCGTCATTATCATATGACCTACCAGCATCAGTTGAATCTCTTCACTGTCATCCACAAATCCTCTACCTGGCCCCATGGGATAGTAAAGTATGCACTTTAGGCTCTCGCCAGAAGTTTTATGAATACTGTGAATTCAGACATGCTACTCTTTTCACTGTTTTCGCCTACTATTAGTAACGTTAGAGAAGTACAATTTCGCCATTCTCAGTTCACCGAGTCAGTGAGTTGATTCGAAAAGCCGCTCTGACCGATTCTTGAACGAATCGATCGGTGCTGTTCTGTGATCCAGTTCAACCGATTAACTGAAAAGATCCGACTCAAATGAATGATTCACTTACGAATCAGACATCGCTAAATCACGCACAGCTCCCTCTAGACGTAAACATGTCTGCAATTCAAACACACCGCCATACATTGAATGCGCGCTAGCGAAAATACTGCATATGAAAGCACAGTGACAGAAGGACACACACAGCTGCGCCAAGGCAGAGACAGAGGGCGCATTGTCTGCCCGCAGGACAGTGGACACACACACACACACACACACACGTGTACGTGTGCATCATTGCATGCATGCCAACCCAGGTTTTGTTTTCTTTACTTCCAGTTCGGTAGTACCACATAAAAACACGGGGGAAAATCAATTAACGTCCTTGCAATATATTAACCAATTATTGATCTCACCTATTCCTGTCTACCATGGCTGTCTCTTAAACCCTAGTATACTGCTTACCTAGACAGCATTTTGGGCATCATAGTCGCCCCAAAATATTGCATTCGTTTTGGACGCTAAAGATACCAAAAATGCTTTGTAGACTGGCAGAATACTAGGTTTTGATACACCGCCCATACACCACCATGCAGCCCAGAATCACTGTTCACAGATCAGATCAAACTGGTCATGCAAAAAAGAAGAACCAGTCAGGAGCCAAAACAGGAATCGACTCACCAAAGACCAGCAACAAAGAAAAGCAATCGGTTTGCGTCTAACAATTAACACAAGCATCAGCGCATAAATGTGACAGGGAAACACTCACTTGTCAGAAGTGACCCTCTCGGTCCACTGGCGTCGGCTCACACACACAGTCACACACACACACACACGCGCACACGCAGCCGGAATAAGCGCTGCTGTAGTGATGTGGACCGCTGGCTTACAGCCTGCACTCCTGATTTGCTCGAAGAACTGCAGCCATCTTGCTGAAGCGCGTGGCAAACCAACCACATGCCTAGACGTAGGAGGGGAGGAACTAGTCAAATTATCCAAAACATTTTCCACTCATCACCCCCAGTAGCATGTCTTGAAAAAGAGCTTTCCAATATTGTCAATTGCTTTTGCCAAGAAATTATGAATTTTTAAATCAATATTTTAAGCAACTTCTTATGCATGTTTCTTATTATTTATAATATAAGGTGTTTTGTGATGTACAATGATATATTGTAACAATAACAAATTGTCACAATGTTAGTCTTTGGGGGGGGGGCAATTTCATAATGCTAAAATTTAATCAAGTTCCCCCTTCCCCCATAAATATTACACGTGATAGAAAGCCTATCCAATAAAAAGGAAGCATATATTAAAATTTTCAATTAATTTTATTGAACTTATCACATTTCACGCCCTCTGACATGGTCTCCCAGTCAATTTAATTAGCTATTGGGCGCAATGGAGCTATGGCGCCCTCTGGCGGATCCTTCAGGATGCTTCGCACGTCTCCTTCATCCTTGGAAAAAAGTCTGTCACTGACATGCAAAGTTGTCATCAGTGGTCCTTTAATGCTTTTCTTTGAAAACATTGACCTCATTATAAAGTCATAATAACTGGACTGAATGTGTAAGACTGTTAAATACTTAATGCAGAAGGCTAGAAGAAGCATTTTTGATCTGCAGGAGGTTTGTTTGTTTGGCTCCCAGGCTGATTCACTTATTAATCAAAAACAATAAACATACATACAAACACTCAAACATACACATATATCATTCCATAAAGTTCTTCGTATTTTCTTTTTTCAGACCCTGCAAACTGAGACAAGAACCGAGTATGAATCCTATTGCAAAAAAGCAATTCGTCACAGTTAAACCAGCCATTAAAGTAATCAGTCTTTCAGATGATTAATCAGCACTGATGATTTAAGCCTGCGCTTCAATAATCAGGGAATCCATTTGTTAGAAGGAAGACAAAAACAGGGCTGATTGTGCACCCTAGGCATGTAGAGAAAGAGACAAGTGGTAATGTGTGGGTGAGCGTTCAGTTGAAGAAAACAGGAAAGATGTGAATCGGAAAGAAAAGCCCCTGAGAACTGGCCGTAGAAAATGAGCTCTTCGAGTCAGAGTTCTTAATCCCGCCTGTCTGATATATTGACCCTATTCGACAGAACCGATTTCTCAGTCTGTGCTATGGCTGGGACAACCTAGCGGAGTCCGAGATGGAGGGGAATGTCAAAGCTCATCCTTCTCCATCTGCTTAAACGCTTCCAAGTCCTCCTGCCAATCAGCCATCAGCGAATCCACCGATTGGCTGCTGGAGTCTCCGTCCACCGCAGGCTCCTCCCCTACATCCACAGAGACGTAACTGCCAAGTCCCTCCGCTGGCTGAACCGACTCTTGTCCTAAGACTGAGTCGTCTGTTGTCTGTTCCTGAGTAGTTACTTGTGATTGGTCAACAGGTTCCAAAGAGGCGGAAGAAGTGTGGTCTTTCTCCACTGTGGAGCAGTCCTCTTCTTCTGCTCCATCCGTACCTTGAAAAAAAAGTCAGTTGAATGAACTACAAGGAATCTGCTTAATATCAATCATACATCACTGACAAAACCTAGTAAGCCACATGAGGTCTGGAGAATGATGACATTTTGTCATCCAGAAACATGCCGATTTTAAGTGAAGTTGCATTAATACAAGTCCATAAACTTTTGGTGTGTTCAAGTTCTCCTGGGCTCGTATAGAGTGCTGCAGCCTTAATGTCAAAACACAGAAAACTCATTTGCCATGGGTTCCCACAAGACTTTCCTAAGGGTTTTTATAATGGGGTTTTTCATTTTAAACCATTACGTCGTGAACGTGCCGTTTTGCTCTACAACAAATTGTGCTGTAAATTGATTTATATATTTGTTATATATTCTGTTATACACGACTATCGTTTTTTTTAACACTATTTGCACCTGGTATTAAGATGAGCTTTCAGAGATACAATCACAAGTGATCAGCCGAGACGCATTACCATTTACACCTGGTTGTTATGTGTTTAAATACATCTTCTGGATTTTGTCCAGACCCTCCCCTCTCGTTTCATCACATGGTTATTTTGTGGAAGTGCTGAGTATGGCGCACAAATACGACTGAATGAAGGAAGTTTTATGCTGCTTATAAGCGAGAGGGAAAGGAAGCAAATGGTAACGTCGATTCCAATTGTAATCAAGTTGGAGTAAATTATTTTGGTGCACTTTCTCAAAACACGTCCCATAGTGCTCACGTGTTAGATCAGTGGGCAGAAAGTAGGTGGTCCTTTGTGGCTGTTCGAACACATTCTACCACATAAGTGTCTACGCTATGAAAGAAATCTGGTCGAATGAGTTTTTTCAACTACCACTGGAAAGTGGTCAAAAGTGAACAAGTTCAAAATGTTTTAGACTCCATCTATACCTGTATTTAGCACAATCAAACCTCTACAAATGATTCAGAATGCAGCGGCACGACTGGTCTTCAATGAGCCCAAAAGAGCCCATGTTACACCTCTCTTTATCTCCTTGCACTGGCTGCCGGTTGAGGCTCGCATCAAGTTCAAGACATTGATGCTTGCATATAGAACAGCCACAGGCTCAGCACCCGCCTACTTCCACTCACTACTACGAATCTACATCCCCTCCAGAAGTCTGAGATCCGCTAGTGAGCGACGCCTCGTGGTACCATCACAGAGAGGCTCAAAATCACTTTCCAGAACATTCTCGTTCACCGTTCCTGGCTGGTGGAATGATCTTCCCACCCCTATCCGGAATGCTGAATCCCTGACAATTTTCAAGCGACAGCTGAAAACTCATCTCTTTAAACGCTACTTGACTTCATCTTAAAAAAAATAAAAAATAAAAAAAAACTCTTTCTTTCTCTTTACTTATTCCTTCCCTTTTCTAGCTTGTACTTATTTGAACAATGCCCAAAACTTGGTATTTCAAGCACTTCCTGTGTCTGTTTGCCTCTTTAAGAAGAATCGCTTTATGTACTCCCCAATTGCAAGTCGCTTTGGATAAAAGCGTCGGCAAAATGACTAAATGTAAATGTAAATGTATTTAATGTTTTCCACTTGAGATCTGATTGACAAAAACACATCTTAATACCAGGTGTAAACAGATCCTTAGCTAGTTTAATTGTAAATGAAAAATAATCATTTAGTTCATTTCAATAAATTTACCATCAGTACAGGCACCGCATCTATTTTCTTGCCATATTTTCTTACTGACATGCCTCCAACTCAGAAACTCAGGGCCTAAAGAATGTTCAGAATTTCCTACTTGGTGATGGCATTTATTTTCACTCAACTAGTAAATATGATCTTTGCAACATGATGCATGAAGGGAAACCCATAGAGGAGGGGTACTTACTGCCATCCAACAGGGTGCCCGGGAGGGCTTTCCCCTTAAATATGGATTCTGCTCATCCAAGAAGGTAGGGGAAAAAAAGTAGTGGAAAGGGAAAAGACAAACACAGAGGGAAAGAGTAATAAAGGAAGGATAATTAGAAAGGAATGACAGTAGATGATGCAACGTGTACCACCTTCCTCACATATTAACATTTTTTCGCTCTGTCTTAGAAAGTGTCTCACCTCTGTCTCTAGCTTTATCACTGAGCAGCACCTCCACCTCCCTGTACTCCTTTAGAGCCTCCAACAGGATGTTACCCTCTTTGTGGAACAGGAAAAGAAGTGGTAAAGTGACATCATCAGTGTTCCGCCCATCTCCCGCCATTTGGAACAATGGAGCCGTATCACTGCTGCTGCCCTCATTGTCATCTAAACAGAAACGACAAAGAGAGACAGAAGAGAGTAATACTAAGACTGATTTATTCTGTAGAAAACATTGTTTATATTGTTAACTAAAGCTATTTAATCATTTTTGCTAATTAAAATTTGGAATAAATTAAAAAGGGACTTAAACTTAAAAAAACAAGAAAATTATGAATGTTGTTTTGGCAATGAACTAAAATAAAATAAGTTGAAGTACTAAAGTACAAATACATTAAAGCTATTCTGAAATAAAAAAACTAATAAAAATTACATAAAATGACAAACTACAATGAAAACTGAAAATACAAAAAATAAATATAATTCAAAACATGAATAAATATTTGAATGGAACATAAATAACACTAAAATAGCACTTGTACAAAGGCAATAAAAATATTATAATGAATAATTTTAAGCAGCCATGGTCAAATATAGTCCATTAACTAGATCAGGTTTTTTTTAACAGGGGTCCAAGAGGCCCCAGGGGCCCACAAAAGGGTTTTAGGCGGGTCAGTGGAAAATATGAGATGAAAAAAAAATACTAAAGGGCTGATTTTGAGGCTGTCAACGTAACTGTAAAACTGCTTTAGAAAAATATTTACCATGAAAAGTGCTATATCAATGAATCTGAATTAAAGTAGTTTCCCATGTAACATTAATGGGGGGAGGGGGGGAATACACTGTCAACTTAATAAAAACTAAATATTTTCCAGATAATATTTTAATAATTTGCTTGGGTTTCAGTAACATAAAGGCCACATATTTAAGTTTGTTTAGAGGGGGAGTTCTTTGTGAGGAAATCATTACATTTAGGGGACATTGGCATCAAAAGAATTGAAAACTCCTGATCTAGGTGACTTGACTCCATGAAACATATCTCACCTATGACGATGCCTCCGATGGCCCCAGCTTTGTGAATGTGCCTAGCCTTTTCTGCAAACATGCACTGGCCTCTTTGCAGCAGAGCGATGCGGCCTGCCACAATTTCACCGTTACTCAACTCAGAACAGCCGTTATAGGGCTCCGCTACGGTTACGAACCCACGCACCTAAGGGAGAAGGAAAAAGAGAACAAAATACACAGTATAGCATGACTAAAAAAATGTATACCCTGTAGCAAGAACAACACAGAAATAGCCAAAAAAGTTCATAATAAAAGGTCAGAATTAATCATATTCACTCCAGAACTGCTTTTGAAAAGATCCAATCCAAACTGCGCAGGGCCTG